AGCATCAGCTTCCTTGAGGCTGAGATCTTGGGTTTCCGCTGCATGGTTCAGACGATTCACAAGATTATCAGTAAATATGATGTATATGTAGTTTAGTAGCTTAACTTAGTTATAAAAATTGTTGAATATTGTATCAACAAGTTAGCAGCCAGATGGTCTTACCTCTTGGCTGTAAAAGAAGAGAAAAAGACGTAATTTAAAATGCTTGTTTTTGTGTTTTTTAATGTCTGTGTATCTATAGTAAGAAAACACTCACACATGTTCAGGCATCCTGCTGTTGAGATCTCACTGCAAAAGAGACGGGAGAGATTAGAAACACAGCCTGAACCATTGGCAGTATTTGTTTGTCAGCGGATCAGATAAAAAAATATTAAATCCATGTGCTGATGGATTATAAAAGTCTAAAACCGAACGATATAGAAATAGAGCCAAACAATAGGTGGGGAAATTGTTAATAATGAATTGACAGAGGATACGAGGTGTTAAGCGGTCTTCACCTGTTTGGACAAAAGGAATTTGCTGGTCTATGAACCTTAAATCCATTTTTAAGTCTGAGGTTGCTGAAGCTTTATTGTCTTTTTTTAAATGCATGTTTAAGAAAATGTGTTTGTTGTGCAGGAAAATATCCTACAGGCACAAAATGTTTGTGGAATCAGTGTCCTAGTTTTTCACAGAACTTACCGAGTGCAGTTTTGCTTAAGGAACCTTTTCTACCACATAAACAGTCCATAAAACACACAGAGACGCATTAACACCAGTAAGATGTGTTTACTTCATCTCATTGTTAAAGTGTTGTTTTCACTTTTGTTATCACCTGGTCTTACCTTTCCTCAGCCTCGTGCCCTTTGTCCTTCATCAAATTTGCAAGTGATTTGCAGCACTCACCCTTTCACTCTTTTAATTTAGGCCAGCCTTTCTCCTCACACCTCCCTCTCATTTCACTATTTGGTTCCATTTCAGAATGGCACCACATAAGACCACCTAGCACGATGGGGTTACAATCTGCTCCAGCGGATTAGGAAAATTCCAGACAGATAGCCGTCCCTCATCCATCTCTTCTGTGCCTTATCCCTGTCTTTCTCCTCAGGATTATCTTGCCAGGAGGAATTTAGAGTGGCCTGTCTCCCCAAATAGACCAGGGGACAACTGATAGACAGCTGTGGTGGGCGACTGTGCTCTGGGGTGCCCAGCCTGGATCAGGGATTTATTGCTGGTAACTCATGGATGCTTATGACCCTCTGTGGTGCGGCCAACTTGGCAATGAAAAAAAAACCCACCCAAAGTGTTTTGGAAAGTTTACGTCAACCTCGGATTTGAACATAGTTGCTTTGGCTGCAGGTTTAAACTCCTCAGTTTGTATTATTTCAGCTGATCATCCCGCTGCTTTGGCTTTATGGTAGCACAGCTTTAGTGTGCATACAGTCTGTGCCCAAAGATGAAACTGGGCTGCTAGCAAAACAGCACTGAAACACTTATTATTGTCTGTTTCTGCTATGCTATGTCTCCACTGTTCACCAGGTCGACATATTGAATAAACTAACACTACTAGATCAATCTGTATTCTCACTGTACAGAGATGCATGACACATTTTTGACAAATGCAAATGCAAAAATATCAAAACTACAGTCTAAATATCCGGAGAGCAAATCCAGAAAGCACAGATATAAAACTTTACACACAGAGCGTATTATGAAGGGAACTTACCAGAGTCAGAGGCAGGAGAAATGTGACCATGGATGGAGCTCGATGGACAGATGAGCCCTCTATTTAACTGCACCGCCCATTGTCCAGATCTCTCTTTCTTTTGTGTGTGGACGCTATTATTAGTCAGCCACGTCCTTCTTGGTACATAATCCTGCTCATTCTTCATCTCACATGTTCATGTAAACAATGGCAATATAGTTGGAGCCTGAAGGCTGATGAGAGTGACTCAAATGACAAATTGTAGGTAAATATGTATATGAACTATAAGCTGGCCATAAACTGCATGGAAAAGGAAATTATGTAAAAAAATAAATAAATAAAGGGGAAAAAAACACTTGTAAGTACATTAAGTAGAAGTGGTGATGCTAGCTGTGCCGTGACAGGGGTCCTTTATGTGGTTACGCTGAAGGCTTCGTGACTTTAAGCCAGTGGCAGCTGTATGAAGGGCAGCTATGGTTTGTCATTCCAGCACTTTAATCCACAGAGAATCACCTCAACTAATATTGGGTGGAATGTCATAATATTTTATGAGGAGATTTATGGTCAACGGGGAATTAATCCTTTTGATTGTATTGATCCCGCGCCTTGTCTTTGATCCATGATGACTTTGTCTCTTCTGTCTTTGAGTCAACAGGTGTGGTACAAAGTTTGGGGCAGATATTTAAGTTCCCTTTAGGGAATATGAACTTTTCCTCTTGCACCACGATTGGGTCGAAATGTAAACAAGCTTAATACTTTTATTCATGACTAGTTAGTGTCTTGATCTAAGGTGGAGTTTGGGCAGTGCTCTGGTTGTTGTTGCCCTTGTGGTGGTAATAAGACTCTCAAATTATGACTCATTTTATTTGTGCTTTCTGGTTATCTGACCTTTCTCTCTCAGTTGGAGTTTTGTTACCTACAACCTGAATAAATTGTTCACTGTTTCCCTGTTCACCTGGAAAACTCCTGTCCTCTAAAACCACTGCATGCTTCACCTCAATTCCAAATTTTACTCTCAAGACTCACCTAAAAACACTTTTTAGGTGAGTCTTGCAAGTCTTCTCCTGCAGTCTTCTGGTGCTCCACTGCTTCATCCCTGCACCGCGCTCCATTACTAAATACTTCCCTGTATCTTGACTTTGCACTTTATTCGTTGCTTGTGAAAATAAAGAGTTAAGCTTCCATCGGGTTTTTGTGATTATGACACTAATATGGCACTAGCAGACCAATGCACAAATGCAAACTGGTCAATCACCTCTTAGGAGTGTCAAAGAGGCATTAATAACAGACTGCAGATAGCTGTATAGTGCATACTGTAGACGACCCTGCAAGCAATCAGTGCAATAAAATGCATGATGTCACACTGACAAATGGACAATGTGTGCTAAGACGTCTGTCATCATATCGAATCTACCCCATATCAGATAAACGGTTCTGATTGTCCCAGCATGGACAAGCGGTAATCTGAACATGGCAGGGGTGAAGAGACCCTCTTCCAAGACAAAAGAAATATTCAATTCAATTTTCAATTTTATTTTATTTACATAGCGCCAAATCACAACAACAGTTGCCTCAAGGCGCTTTATTTGGGGAGATATTGGCTCTGTCTGGTTTCCAGGATCATCGCGATACCTGCATAACTGTAGAGCAGCAAGTTAAACCATCAAATACACCAAAAAACGAGTTCTCACAATGCGTATTAAATGGAGATTTAATAAAGGACATTGCAGTCTGTCCCTTTCCTTCTGGATCGAGGCATGCATGTTGAGGAGGGATTATTCCCAGACTTCTCTATGCAACCATTCTGGTGATAATAATAGGGCTTAGGCAGCAATGATAAACATTATGTTAACATCCTCATATTAACATCTTAGCACGCTCACGACATGCTTAACATATTTAACTCATGATATTGTTATTGAGTACAGCTACATGAACCTGGGGCGGTTTTGTTTACTAACACCTGAACCTCGAAGAAGAGATTAAAATGCCAGACATGCATGTGAGGCGTCGTTCAGACAAATCTTGATGGACAAACCTACGAGCTGTGACTCAGACTCTACAAGCCTCAGTGAGAACGTTAAAGGTTAAAGTTCACGACAGTACAATTAGAAAAAGGCTAAGCAAATATGTTTTGTCTGAAAGGAGACGGCTTCTGCTCAGGTGTTGTGATGGCCCGGTTAAAGTCTAGACTTAAGTCTGATTAAAATGCTGAGGCAGGACCTTCAGAGAGCTGAGTACAAATAAATGCCTGGAAACTGAAATGAACTGAAACAACATTTAAAGAAGGAGAGGGACACAACTTTCCAACAACAATTTCCAGAAACTGATAAAAGTCAACCACACACAC